TCCCTGCCCCTTCCCCAAAATAGAATATCCCTCCCACTTGTTAGCCTATGAAATTACCCAGCCCCAAAAAACTAATCACCCTGGGCTGCTTCTGAGACAACAGCATTCTGCCTATGGAATGTGCATCTCTCTAAATAAACTCTTTCACTTTACCTTGGCTCACTTTTGAATTCTTTCCTGTGTGAAGCCAAGGACCCTCACTTGGCAGCCTGTCCCAGGAACTCACCTGAAACCTGGGACATGACCATTCTCCTGCAACAAAGGGAGGAATGAGGAACTCTAAGGAAAGGGAAATGTGATCTATGGGGAATTACTCCAGAGGCTAGCTTTGAAAGAAAGGAGCCACAGCAATGACCCCCTAAGCTGAAATCCCTACAACAACGGTTAAAAGTAAATTTTTTCCTTCCCTTCCCTTTCCTTCCTTCTTTCTTTCTTTTCCCTTGCAGTTTTATTGAGATATAATTGACAGGGCAATAATAAAGTCTACAGCATACTGATTTGACTTAACATACATCACGAAATGATGACCAAAATAAGTTTAGTGAACATCCATTATCTCACCGATACAAAATAAAAAAAGCAAAAAGGATTTACTCTCAACAAATTTTACACATAACACACAGCAGTGTTAATTATATTAACCATGTTGCACATTACATTCCTAGTAATAATTTACCTTATAACTGGTAGTTTGTACCTCTTGATGACCTTCATCCAACTCCCCCTCTCCCCCACCCCCCTCTCTTTTTCTATAATTTGGTCTGTTTTTGTAGTATAATTGACATATAGCACCATGTTAGTTAGTTCCTGGCGTACAACATAGTGATTTGAAACTTCTACACATTACAAAATGATCACCATCTTAAGTCGAGTTACCATCTGTCACATATCACAAAGATATCACATAGTTATTGACTATATTCCTCATTCTGTACATTTCATCCCTTTGACTCATTTATTTTGTAACTGGAAGTCTGTACCTCTTAATCTCCCTATTTCACTTGAATGGTAAACTTTCAGAAAGTGGACATGGCTGTGTAACATTAGGTTGGACTTTGGAAACTGTGTATAGTGAGAAGGGTATAAATGATCATTTAGATTTAGGTTGCTTTCAAAGCGTTGCCTTTAAAAATAATGTTTATTAAGGTTTCACTTCAAAGTTTTAATAAAAAGTTATACTTTTAAGTAAAAAAAAAAAAAAATTGGGGAATAGAGTTGTGTGGGCAGCAGTCCCTGCTCTAATTCTATGGGCACAATACACAGCGAACCTAATAATATATATTTGTGGACCGGCTGACTGGAAGTTGGAATCATAAGGCTAAGGTATCACCGATGCAAGTTCACAGCATAATGAAACTGAAAGCTCATTTTAAAAGGTTTAACAGGCAAATGTAAAGTTTTTTACATTTGAACTTCACAGTTCATTTACTGTGAAGTGACAGTAAATGTCACAACCCATTATGAATCTGCATCAACCACAAATTTTATCAAGCCCTTCTCAAGCCTTTACTTCCAACTTTTACTACTTACAAGTATACTCAGGCCATTTTACAAATGCATACTGCTCTCTTCTCTTTGTTTTAAGGCAAGTGCTGCAAAATCAACTATCTTCCAGGGCCAAGTAATGAAAATAGGCAAGTGGGCTGAGTGGGGCGTATGGCAAATAGGAAGCACGTGCTCTGCGTCTAAGGGGAGTATGTGCTCCTCAGCTCAAGCCAGTTACTGTCCTATAGAAATGCAGGTCTCGTATGAGAAGATCTAATTGTTTTGAAGCTGAAAATCCACATTTTTATGCAAAACTTCCAATTTTTTTTTTTTTTTTTTTTTTTTTTGCGGTACGCGGGCCTCTCACTGTTGTGGCCTCTCCCGTTGCGGAGCACAGGCTCCAGACGCGCAGGCTCAGCGGCCATGGCTCACGGGCCCAGCTGCTCCGCAGCATGTGGGATCTTCCCAGACCGGGGCACGAACCCGTGTCCCCTGCATCGGCAGGCGGACTCTCAACCACTGCACCACCAGGGAAGCCCCAAAACTTCCAATTTTTAAATGACAATAACAATTAAAAAAATCAAGCACTGTAGAGCAAACAAAATTTGTCCATGGCCAGACATGGTCTGTGGGCTCTTAGCATGGAAACTCCCTTCTTAGAAGGCCTCCTACAGTTTCAAGGGGTGTCCATTATTTATAGTTGTCTAAGATTTGGTGAAAAGGTTCATGTTCTATTTAGCCGCCCTCTCTATGCTTTTGTAAGCTTGGATGAAATTTTCCCTCAACTTTGATCTTGTCACTGGGCAGTCATAATTATTTTTAGTTAATTAAACTCTTTCCAATAAATGTTGGACTTTATGAGTATGTGTGTGTACACACACACACACACACACACACATAAGTTTGTGCAGAGGCAGAGAATTACATAAATTATGCATGTGTTTCTTTACTTGTATATTTTGCTTTGACACCAAGGTGTCAATTTTCTGTCCTCCTATCAGTGGAAGATCAGAGGCAAATTCCTTATTCATGGTGGAGAAAAGTGCTACACAGGGGCTCCAAATCAGCAATGATTGCTATGTTGTTCCCAAGTTAGGTCTCTTATTTTTCACATTGTATAAACGACTTGTTATAGACTACTTCTCCACTAGACACATGCTAACTGTAACTTATTCATCTCTGTACTTTCCACACCTGGCAAAATATGTGGAATAGTATAAGTCGCTCAATAAATATTTATTTTACTGAAATGAACTGACCCACAGCATCAAAACTCCTTAAGTTTGTTCTCAATGCCTCTCGTCACACGATTTCAGCTTCACCTTCAGCTCATCCCCAAGGAGAACCTGGGTGATAACCAAACTGCTCTGTTCTCCAACCTTGAAAATATATTAAGACCTCTTTCCCTCTTTCTATACCTATTAAGTCTACTGGTTGCCACAAATCCAATTTAAATCTTACTTTCCTTGGGAATCCCATTCTACTACAGTGAATCTGTTCCATCTCCAAGAATCATAAACCACTTGTCATGCTCAGAAGAAACATCAGGACAATCCAATTCATTTGTTTCTACAGTAAATTTTGAAAAATTAGCCCTCAGAAAGCACTGTCTGCCCCTATCAGGTTATAAAGATACTGTGCTTCTCCACATTATGCCCAAACAGGAAGACTAGGGTCACAAACTCAAAGGGCTGCAGAGGCCAGACAGGTTACATAAATGGACTAGTCCAATGTAAGAAAATCAGGACTGAACGACTAGGGCAAAGTGGAATTCGAGTACCCCAGCCTTTCCCTTCACGAAGCAACACAGGGGCTAGAGTTCCCACACTTTCCTGTTTTTAACAGGCCCAAATTGTGTGGAGCCAAACCAAACAGGTCTGTGGGCCGCCAGTCTCGACCTTGTGTATCATACACTATTTTCCTAGAGTTTAGAGGCCGTTTCCAAATAAAACCACGAGAGCTTATGCATGAAAAAAAAACTGGAAGTCACTAGGCGTACAAACCCTAGGTCTAACAGGATCCAGTAAACTGCATTAAATGAGTATTTTGTGATGCCTTTGCCAAGACCCTGAGCTCTAACGACACCTCAAAGAGAGCAACAGCTTCCCTTCGGGAAGTTTCATTAGGGGGACTTTACACAGAGACTGAAATCTTAATCACATTGGTTGCATCTTATATACACATGTTTGAATAAGGGGTGGTTTGGTTCTTCCAGAAAGACCAGAAACCAGAAAGGCTGCAATGGGTTTTCACCAAACTCTACTGGTCTAAGAAACATGACACTCTTTTTTAACAGAAACAAACACACATTCACATAATTCAAGACATCTCAGTGGAATCAGAATAAAAGAGGGTACTAAAGTGAATTTTGACCATTTATTTTATCAAGGGCAAATCGTTGTTTTTTTCCTTTCTGTCCCACACTTCTTCTTTTGGAAATTGTTTGTCTCTAGAAATACGTATTTCTGCTGGGGCTGTCAAACGGTTCTATGAATGGGCACAGGATCTAAGCTGGCCAATGAAAAAAAATCCCATTTCCTGGCTGTAATAGTTGGACCAAAAGTATGCATGACTTAAGTCAGGCCAATGAAAGACCTTATTTCAGAGATAAGGATGTTGGGATGAGGTGAGATGGTGAACTGTAGGGACCATGTAGTCCTGGATCTCCCGATACAGGACATGGGGAGAGGCTTCCTACCAACACACATGAAGATACCACTTCAAAGTGATGCAAAGAGATTCCTGATAACTATCATCTGGACACAGATCCAATCACCACTGAGGCTACTGCAAACATTGACCAATACGTAAACTTTGTGACTTGACTAAGCGTGATTTGGGTTCCTGTAAATTACATTTGAGTGCCTTGACTAACACAAGAAACATTTGTGGTTCCTATTTTTATTTAAGTAGAACATGGACCCAATAAATCAATTTCAGAAACAGGCTGAACTGTACGACTGCTTTCTGGCTCAACATATATTTATAATTCACATTTTATGTTCTATCCATTTAAATCCGGTAATGTCAGCAAATAAACAGTTTTATATTCCCATTCAAGTACTACGATTTTTGTACTCATAATTATATCAGTAATGCCATATTCAGTACCAAAAACCTAGAAGCTACAAAAAAGCATAAAAAAGGACTAATTGCAAAAGTTAGGATTAAATGAACATGTCAGACATCTCTTTCCACACATTCATGTAGATTCTTGAACACATATGTTGAATTTGGTAATCTATTGGGAACTACTTTCCGTATTTAAGAATTTAAGAATAAAAGGTGTGTTTACATGGGTATGCAGTGAATCCCTGGTAAAGTATTCATTTATGGCAGAATACAGAACCTTTCCATTTATCTTCTACAAGGAGTACTTCAGGAACTCTGATCTAGCTGAAAATGCAGGATGAAGAGATTGCAGTTACAATGTTAAATTCCCTTAGGTCGTGTGAAACTGTCTTCCACTTTACATTAGAATTCATTTTACTTGTGAGGGCAGAAAGCATGCTCACCTCCTCGTTCTCAATCTTGAGCGTGGCCAGTCGGGACTGCAGCTGCTGGTACCTGAGCATAAGCTCTGCCTGGACCGGCTGCTGCGCGCTGACCTGACACACCTGATGGGGAATCAGAAACCACAGTTACAACAGGGAGCCGTCCAGCCAGCCTCCAGGTGCACAGTTCTCCCATTTAAAGGCTGCATGAATCAGGCAGATCCCCTCAAGATTCCAATTACATATTTTACTTTTAACAGCCGCCTCAAAACTTCAGTCTTAAATATGAACTTGTTATGTAAGTGGCAAGAGCAGAATGCAGCTGCTTGGCCTGGATATGACTGGGAAAAAAGCAGCAGTAGGAAGCATCCCTCTAAGAATGTGGCGGTTGCTGGAGATGGAGCTCTGATGCTGCCGTCTACCTATGGAATAAGTTATTGCGCAGAGTGTGGCGGATGATCCAAGTGTACGGTCATGCAGGCAGGCAGCAGAGCCTGCTGGTTACAGTCAGCTGGGTGACTACAGTAAGTTACTAAACCTCAGTTTCCTTATCTGTAAAATGGGGATAGTAAGAGTACCTACGCCATAGGGCTGTGGTGGGGATGAAATGGGATGATGTACATAAAGCACTTAGAACACTGCCTGGCACACAGTGAAAACTCAGAAAAAGTGAATAACTGTTTTCTGTATCTTCAACCATGGCTTGTCTTGCCAATTTTCAGCCAAATCATGTGATTCACCATGAAACTGAGGAAGCCACTTGTCTTAGGCTTTGGTAGAAAGATATCTTGGCCATGATCTCAATTATGGATAAGGTCAAAATTAAGAGCCTTTTAATTATATTAAAATCAGACTAGAAATGAACAATTTCTTTTCATCTTTCTCATCACAGAAATGGTCTCAGCAAATGAGAGTTTCCTTTTATGGAGTCTCCAGGACATCGTAGAGATTATTGCTTCCTGGCAGAACTGGCCATAAAAAAGGGCAAGAGACTTACTATATTAAAATAATAATAGTTAAAAAAAAAGTAACAACTTTTAACCCAACTGAAATCACTTGTTTGTGACATTTTATCATTCTGTGTTTAACACATCCATCCATAACTGAAAGATTAAAACCATTTGGTTTTAGAAACATAACTCTGGGTGGGATAAGCCACTCGCCTGTCAAATTCGTGTGCTATTGGCATAAAGACTGCTTACCATTTTTAATCAAGTAATTCACTCTATCAAATCAAGCAAAGATAAAATTAGGTTAGAAATATATCAGGTACATACATATACATCTTAAAAGTCTTAACATTAGGTGTTTCAGAGAAAATATGACATTAAAGAAGAAATCTGCCATGGAAATTATAAGTACGTCTATTTTTAAAAACATACTGTCACCACAATAAGCTAAAATTGAGTTTTTAATCTATGAGTACTGTTTTGCACAGCTGGGACACCAAGTGCTATAGAGCATGCTCCATTATTGGTTCTTCTTGTTTCCCCCTGTTCACAGACAATAAATATACCTCTGTAACTCATAAATGGTTTAAATGGAGTTTTTCCCTTGCATAAAATAGGATAGAAAGCTAAACTCATATAAAGAACCTAAGATATAATACATCCTTTCTAATGCTCGTTTTACCAGTTTGGAGGTGACTTGAGTCTTAAAAAAATGGTTTGTATCTCTTTTCCTGTCTTCCATTTTCCTGCCATTTATAATTATTTTTCTTTACAGAGATCTTTAAATCAGAATTATAAGAAGTCTTCAGACAGATTCTATTGGGCCAACAAAACGCGTTGTTTTGAACTTAAATCTGAATGTCTTGAGGTGGAGAAAGAATTCTTTAACTATCCTGCAACAGTTTAGTGCTTACACCCAGGTGAGTTTGCACCTCTATTTCTTTGGCCTCTGGAGGCATTAGAGTGTTTGATCATTGCTTTAAAAGGTGGTAGTGGCTGATTGTTGAGAGTATTGTGCTAAGATCCCATGCAAAGGCAGCCATGAGAAGACAACTGGGAATTTTTACAACTGCTGGGTACAGCAGGGGAAGAGTAATGTAAGTTAAGAGACAATTCATTAGTTTTAAGATAATCAATTACTGACCTCATCACCCATGTGAGACTGAAACTCAAACTTCATTGGTGGACAGAACGCAGCAGGGTACATCTCCATGAATCTCTGCTTATCACTCCTGGGCTCCAAATTGTCAACTGCATTCTCAATAATGTCCAAGCCTTCGTGTCTGGAGGTTTCAAGGTTATACTCCGCAGAGAGATATGTTCTCAGGGCTCTGTTTAGACTTGCATGGTAGCCAAGATCACAGCACTTAAAAAGTAAGAGAACACCACATATAAAAATTAACTCAAAATGGATCACAACTTAAATGTGACAGCTAGAACCATAAAATTCTTAGGAGCAAACCTTCATTACCTTGCATTAAGCATTGGTTTTTTGGATATAGTATCAAAAGCACAAGCAACAAAAGAAAAAATAAATTGGGTTTCATCAAATTTGAAGACTTTTGTGCTTCAAAGGGCACTATCAAGTAAAAAGATAACCCACATCACAGGAAAAATATTTTGCAAATCATGTTATCTGATAAGGAATTTGTATCTAGAATATATAAAGAACTCTGGCAACTCAATAAATAGACATATAGCCCAATTTTAAAAAATGGGCAATGGATCTGCTAGGTATTTCTTAAAAAATACATATACAAATTGTCGAAAGCATATGAAAAGATGCTCAACATCATTTGTCATCAGGGAAATGCAAATCAAAACCACATGTGATACCACTAGGATGGTTAAAATAAAAAAGGCAGGAAATAACAAGGATTGGGGAGGATGTGGAGAAACTGGAACCCTCGTACACTGCAGATGGGAATGTAAAATGTTGCAGTCACTTTGGAAAAGAGTCTGGAAGTTTGTCAAAGGTTAAACATATGACTTGGCAACTCCATTCCTAGGACTATATAAAAAAGAGATAAAGCATATGACTTGGCAATTCCATTCCTAGGAATATATAAAAAAGAGATAAAACTTGTACATGAATGTTTCCCGCAGTGTTATTAATAGCTGAAAAGTGGAAACAAGTATCCATCAATAAATGAATAAACAAAACATTTTCAGCCATAAAAAGGAATGAAGTACTGACACATGCTACAACATGGGTCAGCCACACATTGTATGACTCCATTGATATGAATATCCAGAATAGGCAAATTTATATAGAGAGAAGGTAGATTAGTGGTTGCCTAGGGCTGGGGGATGAAGGAATTAGGAAGTGATGGCTAAGGGGTGCAGGATTTTTCGGAGTAATGAAAATGTTCTAAAATTGATTGTGGCAACATATACACAACACTGTGGATATAATAAAAGCCAACTGTGGATTTTTAATGGGTTAAATGTATGGTATGTGAATAATATCTCAATAAAGCTATTAAAAAATAAAAGAAGCAAAATCAAATACAGAAAAGAAATAATGAAAAAATAGCTTTCAAGTTTGTTCATGCATACTGAGATTGATACAGTGATCTACTGAAATCCTTCTGGGATGCAAACATACTAACTGTAGTATTTTGATGTTTGTATAATTTACTGAAGACAGCAATAATCTGTACTCTTTCTGAAATGGGAAAAACAGGTTTGAATCTGCCAAAACAGCCCAGGAATGCCTTCTGTCTTATCTCTAGAATAAAATTTTTCAATAAGAAATGACTGGCCAAAGTCCTTTTATCAGAGACAGAATTTTGTTTAGTATTCCTAGGAATACAAGGGCTTTGGGCTTCGATCTTCACTATCTTTAATTTGTATTTATTTATTCATATTGCATTTTAAGAGAATATAATTTTAAAAACAATGTAACTCTGGATACTAGTCAGTTATAAATTACTGACAGAATTTTAAATTTGTACATAGAAGCAATATAAATCTCTTAAAGAGAAAACAAGTGGTTTTAAAGGTACAAAATCAGGTCATCCCTATATTGTTCTAATGAAGTTCAATCAATTCAATTTGATTCAATTCAACTCAGCTCACTAATTGGCCATCTACAGATGCCTGGGCATTTGCTAGGCTCCAGGAATATGAAAACTGGAACACAGTAAAATATAATCTCCATTCTCAAGGAATTCAAGTATAAGTTGTTCGTCAGTTTGCTACTAAAAGAGTAGTAGAAGGGTGCAAAGGACACAACTTGTCTTATGTTTTATGAAGGTACAGACTTAATCACTGACCTGTCCTTAGAAATGCCAACACATTTAATTCCACCCTCACCCTCCAATTTCATAATGCTTAAATTTGGGATTTTTACATAAACATATTATAAAATCTTGGTTTTCAAAGTGTGGTCTGTGGACCAGCAGCAAATGCAGACTCCTGGGCCCCACCCCTGACCCACTGAATTAGAATCTGAAGTTAAAAAAGAAATACGCACGTTGATTCATATACACACTAAAGTTTGAGAAGCACTGCACTGAAACAATCAAGTAAAAGGGTCTTGAACCCTGTCCTTCAGGGGTGCCATTTCTCCAAACAGGCCAGAGAATCGACTTGATTAAAGATTACTTGATTTAAAAAAGCAGACAGTAGCTGCCACAACACAATTACAAATATAAGCAAAACATAGTTGCGAGATGCAGTTGTCCGCATTAATACATTTCCAGTGGAATCTGCTGCACTCAAATACAGAGACGGATTTTCAGTTAATTAAAAAATTCTAGCCTCAGATGAGCAAAGTCCTCTTTTATTCCTCTTACTCCTCAAAATCTATAATGGTTCTGTGTAGCAGCTTTATACACCTCAGAGGGACTGAAAAATTATTCTCTCAATAACACCTCATCGTATGAAAACATAAATTTGTGAAGAAAATGGTCTCATTTCTTTGAGATGTACCAGTGCTTCAAAACACCCTACTATTCTGAAAGAGGGCAGATTCAACTTGATTATAATGAAGCAGATCACACAAGCTCCTTTACTTTATGAGTACTGATCCCAATGGGACTTAATAGAAAATTGATATTGAGAGGAAACAACCCAGAGAAAAGCCTTTTCCTCCCCCCAACAAAAACCAAGTCTCTTTTCAACTTAAAAGAAAAGGAAAAAAGAGAAGAAGAATGAAGGAAAAAGAGGAAGAAAAAGAAAGAAATTCAACCCCAACTATCCACTTGAATTACAGCTCTGAAAAATACATACCAAATTTTCATTACTTCCAGACTTAGTTCACTATTTCTAAGTGTGGCTTCTTTGGGGAATAAATGTCAAGATTTCAAAAGTACCAGTGCATGTTTCCACACGCAGTTCAGCCACACAAAGTTGGTGAGTCTGGTCCCAGTAAGACACCCCTTATTTCACTGTTGTTTCCTAATAATTTGGGGAGAAGCATGCATGTGGCTTTGTAATCAACCCAGGGGCCTCCCTGGGTGTCTTCTGGACTTTGAGAACTTAGTAGGTTTCTGTGATGAGCTTTGATGGAAAATTTCCTTCTCTGACCTCTACCAATACTTTCCAGTCTGTGAGGTCATGTAACTGGCATGATTTTGTTACTTGTGATATGCAGCTTTTTCTACACTGTAGGCTTTTTAACCATCCAGAATTTTAAAAGAAACAAGAAACAGCAATAAAATTCTTTTTCAAGGTCTCCTGAGACAGCAAGACCTGTCACAGTCATTTTTTTTTTCTAAACTGGAAGCTAAAATGACACTGGATATGTTAGGATTCAAGATACTTGGTCAAAAGGCCTAAAGTAATTCTATGGAGCTTATGAATTATTAATGACAATACGAAGAGCCAGCTTCTACACAAAGAGTTGAATTATAACCCAAGTGCCCAAGTGCATTTAATGATGTAAATACATAAGAAACCAATAAAATATTTCATGAAAACAAAATAGTGTTGTTCTGATGGATGAAAAACTCTGAATGGATATATTAAATTATGGATTAAAGCTGGGGAAGGAAAGACTGTTAGAAGTCGAAGGCTGTATTTTTTTTTTAATATCCTAAGAGCTGCCAAGATAGATTCCACTAGGCATTAGTCTGTATCGCCACAGTAAGGCTAATTTCCTTAGGCAAAAGTGTTGCAAATAGTATTAAAAAAATGAAGATGAAATCTAGGTACTGAGGCCAGTGACAAATACTTTTTCTTGTCCCAAAGGCTGAGAGATTGGTTCAAGTATACTTGGTGGGTATAATGTCAGGGTGTCAGGTATAACTGGATCATAGCTGTTCAGGGAGACAACTTTTTTTTTTTGAAATAAACTCCATGACATGAGAAGCCCTAGTGGGGTAGAAGTTTGGGCTTAGATGGGATTACCATAATGGAAAACAAGTCCTACATACATGCTTCCAGAACAGTAACAGCCAATGTCATTTGCAGGGCAGCCCAGGAGGTGGCTGGAGGGCAGCCCCGAGCCTGTATGTCACTCCAGAATTAAGTGGTTGTCATGAGAATGGAGAGGGAAGAAATCCTGAAGTATTCGGTCTTAACTTCATCACTCCTGCCTCTGTCTGAGAAGCTTCCATGATCTTTTCTTGTGGGTCCTATCCCTGGCTTTTAATAAGTTTGGCTTTGACCATTCCAGAACCATGGATATTGTGTGAAGACTCAGTCTGCCCCTTCTTTTCAGTCTTTCTGAAAAATAGTGCAACCCAAGCAAACTGAACTGCAAAATACAGCTTTCACATGACCATGGGTAGCTTTCAAAGACCAGAAATAGACACTCTCAGAGCTTTTACAGTAGATGTCAAGGAAGAAAGTTGATTTCTCCTGTGTAAGTATCTTTGTCCTTCACTAATTTCTTCTCTAGCTATTCAGTACCTCAGGCAAGATACCGCAAACACATTTTGTGAGACAGAGGCATCTTGTGGAATTGAACTGTATGTCTAAATTACAGGCAACTTTTACACACCTGCTTTCACCTCTGGGTTCCTGATGGTCCATAGCTGACAATTTAATTTTTGCTGCTACTTTAACTGCAGCTGAGCATTTAGCCAAACTTGTTTTGAGTTTCTCTTTAGCATGGAAAAGGTCAAAATGGTACATCGGTGTGATACCAATGGATACAAAGTAGGAAACAGGAGAAGGAGAACAGAGGTTGCATAGCCTGAGCCAATGAGTAGGCTGAATAATCTTTTGTTGCCTAATACAGCTCCCACCCACAGGGGCAATTATTTCCTTCAGAGGAGCTGCTACTGGACTCATTTTTTTCCCAGGCCAAATCTCTGTAACTACCCTGAATCAAATCACAAGAGAGGAGAGAGAACAATAAACCAAGCCTCAATTAATACAGGTCAGGTGATACATGCTATGGAGAAAAAAGTCAGA